GGGGCGGGGGGAGAGTTGCTGGGAAACGGCCCGGAAAAGCCCCGCTGGCACAATGCCAACACACTATCGCGGAGGCAGAGTGAACAGCGGGCCGCCCGGCGTAGGGCCGGAGCGCGCAGGGGTGAGGGGGAGTCCCACCCCGGCCGCTGCAGCAGCGCCTCCCCCCGCCCGCCACGTCCCGCCCTCCCCGGCCGCTGCGGACCGCCCGCGCCACCACCGCCGCCGGCAGGACCTCGCGGCCACCCCGAAGCCCGCTACCCCCGGTCACCGCCTCAGTGGTCCTGGACCCCAGGGCTGCTCCCCCACCCTACTTCCCGAGCGCGGCCTGGGGCTCGGGTTGGGGACGATGGCGGTGATGATTTGGGGGTAGGGAGGACTCAGGAGGCGGTCAGCTGAGAGGCGCGGCGCGGCGACGCGGGGGACCACCTCCGAAGGCGGAGGAGAGAGGTCAGGGCCGGAGAGGGGACGACAGAGTGTTAGCGCCGGGCTGCGGCCGCCGCCGGGCTCCCGGCTTGGCCTCCCCCTCGCTGCACCTGCTGCTGCGGCGCAGGGCGGCCCACGTGGGGACGTGCGTGCGGGTGGCGGTGCTAGCGCGCTGCGCGCCTTCCCCTGGCACCGCGGCCGCGAGGGTGGAGGGCTCCTGTCCGCCACGTGACAAGAGGGACGGTGAGGCGACCCCCAAGGCCGGGGCGGGGGGATCCCCGAGTCCAAACACAACCTCCAAGTCTCCTTCCACTGAGCTTTTGGTTTCTGGGTTCGAGGCAGCTGCAAGTCCTCGAGGTGGGTAAAAGTGACCAGGTAGAGGGTAGAGAGGTGTGTGTGTGTGTGTGTGTGTGTGTGTGTGTGTGTGTGTGTGTTTACATCCATTTAATGAACGCGGCGGGGCGGGGGAGTAGATGGGGCAGGAGGAAACCAAGAGCTAGAGGAACAGACAGACAGACTGCGCACCGACAGAGAGCTAACTCCACCTGATGGGAGCCAGAGGAGCTAGGAGCTCAAGGAAATAGCAAGGGATGGGTGGATGGATGGAAAGCCAGGAGGAGCGCCCCAGAAAACCGGTGTATATCTGGCCAGTTTGTACCTGTAAAAGGGTCAAGAGGAGAAATAAGCAGAAGGTCCCTTGGGAGTCGTAGGACCCACACGTGATTCTTGTCCCAGCATGGGTGTTGGGGGAGGATGGGAGTGGAGTTGAGGAAGAAATGTCCCAATTGCAAAGAAGCAGGAGTGACCAGAGGATGGTTAGCAGACCTTTAGAGTGGCTAGTAGATGTGTGAATAAGTGACAAAGACACAGGTCCCCAAGGTGGGAGGGAGGGTCCTCAAAAGATGTTCAACCCCAAATGTTGATTGTGGAATGTTGAAACTTTTAAAACTGGATGGTAATTATGTTTTGCATCCCAGAAAATATGTCTTCTTTAGGAAAATGATCAAACCATTCAACAGTAACAATGTTAAAAAATATCTTAGTGAAAGCACTACATTTCTCAGTTGCCATTTGAACATAAGAGAATACAAACTTGGACTTCGGTAAATCCACCCACTCAAGTATGTCTGACCTGTTTCCTTGCCTTTGCCTAGGTCAGTTTCCCAACACACAGATTGTGTTACTGGGCCAAGGAAGTGGCCATTCCTAAATTTTGCTACAAAAGTGGTTCTTGCAGGAAATGCAGGAAGGAAATCCCAGAAGGAAAAAAGGGGAGGGTGATAAAAACTTTTTATCCATTTTCTCACTCCTCCACAATAACCTAGTGGCTTCATATGTCTGTGTTGGAAGTCAAATTCTCAGACATAGTGGCCTCTCTGAGCCACTCTCTGCCCAGCTCTCCTGGGCAGTGTCTGGGCCTGAGAGGTGACATTTCTGCTCAGACCTCAGTGCTGAGGGCAGAAACGTGCCTGTCCTGGACCAGGTCCTCTGCTCACTCACCCAGAGACTTGAGGCGGATGGATGATGTGGTTTTGCACCATTGCCCAATCTTCCTGGGCTGTGGCTGCAACTTTTCCTTGAAAATTCTATTCATTTTCCTACACAGGCATGCAGAAATACTTTAAACTACCCACCACATTCTGCTGTCTTGGCAAACTGCCTTTTCACTTTTGAGTTTAGAACCACCACTTGCTGAGTAATGCTACCTCCCTAATGGGAACCCACAAGATTTTTCTTTCTGAGAAAAACCAACATATGGGGAAAGTTCAGCTTCTCCAAGGAAGGTTATGCATACATATGGTCAGGTTTCAAGACTTGATGGTTTTGAAAGGGAGTGGTTATAAACTGATAGTTTTGTAAACTCAATGTGCTATCCCAGAAGATGGTGCCTGTCACAGTTCTTCAAAATTAGCACTGAAGTAGATACTACTTATAGAAAAAAATGCAGAATGCATAATTCTGGAACCCAATTAAGGTAACATTGGTTTCCTTACATTGTATCTTATAATGATAAATGTTAAGAAAGATTCCCAAAACCCTTAAAAGAATTGGTGTAGGACGCTTGCTCTTCTGATTCAAAAGCAAGTAGTATTTGTCCGAGGCTCATAGCTCTGTATAAAAAATTAGAAATCTTCAGATCCTCTAGGACTCTTTCATTAATTTATCTGCAGTATGGCATCCTCAAAGTTGTTTTTCTATGACCATAACAGATGATGTTACAAAAGCGGCAAATAAAATAGTGCTTCTGACACTCTATATTAAATAAACTTATTTTAAATAACTATTTTCATTTACTTGCATAGTTACATAAAGTTATCTTTCCATTTTATTAACTCATCAATGTACACATCACGGTATTAGTTTATCAAAAACAATTATTAATAAATGCTGCCAAATATCAAAAGGTCTTTAAAAATTATCTCCAGTTCTCTAACATGAAACTTGAACCAACACGGGAAGCCACTTACCTTCAAGAATCTGAAAATATATTGGGGCAGAGTAGAAAATCTTCATGATACAGAAGATAGTTAAAATCATTGAAATCTTACACTTCAACCAGGCAGGATACCTTATGAACATGACAGAGAAATAAAACATGGAGTTCTTAGAAGTATGAATACATGGTATTGTTAGATATTGCAGGGATATTAGCCTCTTGTGGGCAAGAATTTTCAGAACACATTATTCCACCAGTTGTCATCAGTACTTACAGATCTGTGGTCATTGTCCACAATGTTTCATATCCCATGATGGTTGTGCTCCAGGAACAATGTATGATTATCTCTGTTTGGGGAAATGAGGTAAGTAAAAATAACTCCATGATTGACCTGTCTATGGGAAAATTTAGAAAAGCTTTATTGTACTTGTGATTAATATTTAGTTGACAGTGGCTTATAAAGATAACATCAGGGGGCGCCTGGGTGGCTCAGTGGGTTAAATCCTCTGCCTTCGGCTCAGGTCGTGATCTCAGGGTCCTGGGATCGAGCCCCACATCGGGCTCTCTGCTCGGCGGGGAGCCTGCTTCCTCCTCTCTCTCTTTCTGCCTGCCTCTCTGCCAACTTGTGATCTCTGTCTGTCAGATAAATAAATAAAATCTTTAAAAAAAAAACAAAGATAACATCAGGGTTTTTTTAATAGTCACCAGCCTAGGGCTTGAAGTATTAAAAAAAAAAAAATAGTCACCAGCCTAATTAATAGCTAGTATTCTGTAAATCAGCA